TAAGAAAAATAAGTACAAAAAGATACACTATAAAAAGCATGAAGCTGAACAAGTTAGTAGACTGGCTATGTCAACTAAATTCTGAAAAAAAACTACAAATAACCTAAACTTTAGTTACTATTTCAGAGACAGTAATTTAATACGATTTTCTGAGACTTCATTCAATGAAAAAATTACAAAATACAATGATAATGATTTCTTTTGATATTATGCAACATATCCACTACAATTTCATGAAACTAAGAATATGCAAAGCTGACACATTGACTAAACGTCTCCTGGTGTTAGAAAGATATATAATCGCCAAGAAAAGCCTTATGTTTCACAGAATCTGTCCTTAGCCTCAACTCAGCTCTCTAACTTGGGAACCAGAATACCATGCTGTCACAGAAGAAGTTTCACATCAGGACATTTGAGAGAGAGTTTCCGTATTTTCAAAATTTTGAACACAATATATTGAATGTTTAGATCCCCACTGGGCTTTTGGTTACTGCTACTACATGCAATTACCTGCCAACAGGTGCCTACCAGAGGACAGGATCCCGGAAGTCCAGGGACTTCTGCACCAAACACTTAACACCACTGGGAAATCCTCACACTAGATCTGTACGACCTCCCAGGGGGTGAACACTCATCCCCTGCACCAGCCATCTGTCCACATCTTTAAAGTCAATGAGATGTTTTACCTTCATAAACAGACTGATTATAGCTCTGACTTAAATCTAATTTTTTAAGTTGACATGGATAATAGCTTTTCAGGTTATTTTTTAAATGACAATGACAGATGATTTAAAAACATCTCAATTGGGTTATCACTACAGAATATCGCATTACACCTCCTATAAACAATAATGAATGGACCAGCTATCTTATTATCTCAGAATTTTCCTATAATAATCCGGAGCATTCCTCTACACAGCACACCCCTTTTTACCAACAATCATCACGTCTACCCTGACAACAGTAGCACCAGTACTTTAGGAGTGCATCAGTATCATACACAAAATCATTTCCAGACTACCCTCTAGCAGGTCAAATTGAAATATAAGGAGGATACCACCCGGAATCAGTCTTTGAAACACAGCACCTTAACAGGAGGTATCATTTAGCTCTTTTCCAGACAGTCTCACTATACACCACCCCTGCATACCAGAAACTGAAGGAACACTCCCATGACAATGGAAAATCTTCAGCTTTCCTGAATCCGGTGGCTACCCCACACTCCTGCATTGCCATGGGGCACCTAACTTTGCTCATCACCACTTCTTATTACACTCTACTCACAAGGTCCCACCATTCCTCAGAACCCCAGCAAACCAAAATGGGAATCCTTAGCATGTCAAGGGAGACTAACTATATTCTGAGTGATATTAAGGTCAGTTCTATTCACTTACCTACCAGAAAAATCATGGGCTAAGAAAGCAGCTGTGGGAAGCCACTTTTTACCTCTAAAATGCATTGAAACACATTAAGGTGTTGGCAAGGCAAACCCAAGAAAACCATTTTATACAATTTTAATTATACTATACATTCTACAGTATAGATTTTATATACTACATAAACAGTATAGTATTTTATTTACCTTTGCATGCTGTTATAGAATCCTTATATTTACTTCAATAGCTATTTATATCATTTATATGATTTACCATAATTGACTTAAACCTTTCCCTATTGCTGTGGGAGTTATTTCTATTATTTCCCTATTATTGATAATATTTCAGTAAACATCTTTATGCATAAAGAACTTCACTTTTTAAATTATTTCTTTAGAATAATATCAGCAGGTAGGACATCTTAAATAAAACAAGATTTTTAACATTTTTTTAATGTCAGTTGCATAATTCATAGCTCAAAGGGCCATATCAATTTTATATGACCTCTGATAGTCTTTCTACCACAAGTTTATCCTAACACATGCTCTTCTCATACACCATGGTTGGGAGTATAAACTGCCACTACTGCTTGACAAGGCAATTTGAGGTGTTTCTGAAAGTTTGTAATGTCCAATACCCTTTGCCCTTAGAATTTCACTTCAAAGAATTGGTTCTTTGAAATACTGGCATATCGAACAAGGAAGTTCATAACAGCATTGTTTGTGGTACCAAAGAAACGGAAATCAACCTAATTATTCATCAAGGGAAGAATGTTTAAATTATGATAAATCAAAATAATATTGAGAGTTTTATTTCTGTTTTAAAGAAAGTATACGCATGTATGTATGTCCATATGTATTTGCAGTGCATAGAAAAAGGTCTGGAAGGATCTACTGGCAGTGGTTACCTAGAGAGAGAGACATTCTGTTGGAAGGAAGTGGGTTGCAGGATGGTAATGAGGGAGCAACTGTACCTTTCACTCTATAGGTCTGTATGTATTTTAATTGTTTACAGTAAGTATATATTCAGCTAATAATTTTATAATTAAAGTAACATTTTAAATAAAAAATAACATATGTGAAATGAGTCCAATCTCCTAACATGCAAGTGGAGAAAAAAAAAAAAAACTATTTTGCCACTCCCTTCTTTTATTTCACTATCAATCTAAATAACATGGAAAGCCAGCAATACATTCCACGGTCATCTTTATTTAATGGTCACCTGCTTGTGATCATTAGATCAATGGATGGATTCAGAACAAAAATCTAGAAGAAAATTAGTTCCGAGAGAGGAAAATAGATAGCTGGAAATGTAAAAACATTAAGAATGAGACCAAGGAACCATATATTTTCAAACAATCTACATACCAAACCACGAATTATAATAAAGCAAATAAATGAAATCCTTTTGTATATATGCCAGCTTTTCATACTGGTTTTAACCTTTACAGTAGATATGCTGCACAAGAAACTGTTGGGTATTAATTTAAGCCTGCAGGTCTCAAGTATATTCCTCTGCAGATCATCTGTATCAGAACCATATGAGGCATTTACTGAACAGCAAAAGCTTAGGTCCTAGGTCCATCTCTAAATCTAAGGGTAGAGGGTGGAAATCTGAAACTTCAACAAGTACCCCCGCTGACTTGAGAATCCCCATATCTAAGATCTACTTCCTTAAACTTTCAGGAACACTGACCATTATAATAGTGATGGGAATAGACTCATTCCATAAATTAAAATAAAAAATTATTATTTGACTTCCTGAAAATGATAAGATCACAATTTATTTTCTAAATATTAAGCATTCTGATCTAAATAAAATGCAACCTTAGATTTTATGTACCATGCAAGCAGTGACTGTTTCTATTTTGATCACCATTCTGTGCCCAGCACCCAGTGTCTGGCACATAGTAGGCACTCAATATGTATTTACTTAATTAATATGATTTGGAACAGGGAGCTCCTTACACATAGAAATGACTCTATATGAACTGGAGCTGGCCAGTGGGAGGGAAGAATGTGAGACAGAATGAGATGGGATGGGTTTCTCAGGTACAGAGACAGGGCTCTGTAACTGATAAGACTGTGATCTCAGTCACATCACAACCATTCCAAGTCTCATATCACTTTTCTATAGGGTAAGATTGATTCTGAGAAATTAACTGCCAATCAATCATTTAAATGCAGTTTGAAATGTTGACATATATAGTTAAGCATTTTTTGAATAAATGTCCCTGGGTGCTCTCATTTCAAAGCTAATATTATAAAGATAAAGAAACATTTTGAAATGGAGATATTACCTTCACCACTGATTGTCATTCTGTGATTAAGTTTGAAACCACTTGGAAGAGGACAATCCATTTGAAAGCAAAACAAGAAAGATAACCAGTAAAGAATCAAACTGTCAGTCTACAAGTTTTGTAAATTGCTATCATCCCAGATTTCAAAATCTATCATTTACACCAATTATTTTCACCTCATATATTCTGGAATGATACCTACTATGGATACTACTAAATTTGTGGCAATGTAATCAAAAAAAACATGCAAAATATCTTTTTGAGATTTTCAGCAATAGTCTATAGAAAACTCCTAACTACAGGATGGTGAGTCACCCAAACCCATGATTTAAAGGACCCAAAAGACTTTTCTGAGGACAGAGACATTAAATATAAAATGTGACAAATTTAGAAAAAAAAAAAATTCTACTTACTACTATACATGGCCTTCATTGCTAGAGCTGCAAATCAGTCTTAACTGCAGCAAAAGGTCATGGAGAGCAGGGAGCGGATATTAATCTGCACGCCCATCTCCAAAACTCTGGTATATGAGAGCAGGCCATCAGATGTCTGAATTTGCATGAGGAACCCCCTAGGCTGAAATAGGAAACAAAATGAAGGGTGGCCTTAGGATTTTAGGAGAAATGCTCATGAACCTAGACAGAAGTCAAAAGTTGCTCTGACTTCTGAGGGAAGAAGGAGTGGCCTATAAAGGCAGTAAGTCACCCTGAGACAGGGGAAGTCAAAAGACTTGTCACTTGTATTGTGCCACTGTTGACCATCCTTAGGGAGAAGTACTTTTAAGTACCTCCAGGAAAGGAGGTCCCTCAGTTACCCTCATGCCCAGTCCCCAATACACCTGGTTCCAAGGCCTTAATTGAGGCAACCGCTAAAAGATGGCCTTTTGGAAACCTTGAAGAGCGACAGGAAGAGGGGTAAAAAAGCTTACCCAGTTGCAGTGAGCAGCACCAGCGTACACAGGCCAGCAGAGGAAGCTTTGAGAGCAACAGGATGCAAATAACCACAAGCAAGGATAGCAGCAAGACTGAACTCTGGCACCACCTCGAGGCTCTTCAGGGAATGAAGCAGATGAGGCAACAGTGGTAGAAATAAGTGATGGCCAGAGAATGCAAGAACAGCCATTGTGGCAAAGGAAGGCAAAGCTGAAATAGCCTCCTTGGAAGGCCAGGAACATCCTCAGCATCCCTGGGAATTGGAACCAACCTGACTTGGAATCCCAGAAGCAAGAGTAGTGTGAGACCACGGCAATGTCACTTGTGCTCCAGACCATGCTTATGGCTGGCGTGGCCCGGTAAAACAGGCTTGCAATAAGAACATGCACTCACATTCTTACGGAGCCATGGTGATTTTGACAACTTCATGAAGGTCAAATGAGGCTTAAAACTTCTGCTGTCTCCTGCCAGGATGCCTTTTTCTTGAAATGTCCTATTTGCAGTCTCTGAAGAAAATAAAGAGAAATAAAGAAATGCTACTACAGTCTGTTCACAGTTGTCTTTAATTGCAAAAAAATACCAGTTCAAACAATCACTATTTTACGGTGAAGATTACTTTATACACCTGTTTCAGATATTTTCTTTAAAAGAAAGAAAAAATCTGCAATATGTATAACAAATACTATTTGACAGTTAAATGTCCAGTGATTTCACACCTGTGGTAAAGCACACAAAAGCAATAATTTGAAAGGGATATCTAACAAATGCAACAACTGTTGGGCTGACACAGTGCTGATTTTCACTGAGCATCCCAGTGGTTTCCCTGAGTATAAAAAAGGACTAGCTTATCTGAAACCCTTAACATCTAAAACTTCTGCTTCCAAGATAAAGTAGCAGAAACCTTCCCTGAGCAATGAGAAACAAACAAGGCAAGCCCTTTGATTGTTCCAGCTTATATCCTTGAATGTCCAAGGTCTTGTGTAAGGATGTGAAACAGATAGAGTCCAGCCATTCCCTGGGTTGAGGGAAAGGAGCTGAAAGGGACAGAATACTTAAGAAGAGAGACCTGTACCAAGAAAATTCCAGAGCTCTTCAAAGCGTTCCCCTAGAATATCTGACTGAGTCCTGATCAGTGCATGTGTGCAAGGAAACTACCAGAGGCTGGGGAAAAACACATTCAAAAGGATTAAAGGGGAGAGTGTCCAGTACTCTAACAAGAAAAGGTGAGCCCTTTGATTGCCCCAGCTTATATCCAAGGCCTTGTATGAGGAGGAGAAACCCAGATGGAGCCCAGGAATACTGTCTGTTCCATTAGCCAGACTGGAAAACCCCAAGATTCATGAGACATCAGGTAAAAAGAACAGTCTTGCCTCAGTAGTGGGGAATAATTAACTCTGGACTGGTACTCTTCTAGTACCACCTAGGAAATCTTAGAAACAAGACCCAAAACAAACAAACAAACAAACAAACAAACAGCTGATTTCCAGGTAACTTAATTGTGTACCAGAACAATGCCCAAGGATATTTATAGAAATACAAAACAATTCAGCACCCAACAAGAGAAACTTCACAATGCCTGGCATCTAATCAAAAACTACCAGGTGTGCAAACTAACTGGTCAATATGGCCCTCATTTTTTAAAAGATAAATCAATTAATCAAAAGTGACTCAGAATTGACATCAAGGTTAGAATTAGTAGATAGGACATCAAAATAGTTATTATAACTGTATGTCTTATGTTCAAAAAGTCAAGTAGATGTTGGGAGAAAAGCTGAGTGTTGGGAGAGAAGCTGAGGCAGGGCTTGCATGTCTGACATAATGTAAAAGAGTGTTGGAACATATCCAGGGTCCAGGGTCTAAAACTCCTCGTGGCCTTTGGAATATGTCTAGACTTGCTGGCTCCTTGCTTCTAGCACTCCCATTATCTGAAGTAGTCATATGTTTCAAAGAAAATGCTAAACCATCACAGCTATAACTCATTCACTTGATACACCGCTTCCTTTCAACCCCCACATCCTCACCACCTGTTTCTTTCTTTGATCACCAATAAATAGCATGGGCTCCCAGAGCTCGGGGCCTTCGTGTCCTCCATACTAGCATTGGCCCCCAGTCCTACTTTCTCTCTTAACTTGTCTTTTCCTTTCACTCCGCTGGACTTCGTAGCCCCCACAGCCTGCTGTTGGGTCTGATCACCCCAACAAGTAGAGACACGGAAACTATTAAATCCAAATCCAAATCAAATTTATATAGAGATGGAAACTGCAATGTCTGAGAAAAATTAACTGGATGAAAATAACAGGTGAGACACGGCAGAGCAAAATACTGGTAAATTTGAAAACAATGCAATAGAACCCAAAATAAAACACACTAAGAAAAAGAAAATATAAAGAAAAAAGAACAGAGAATAGAATATCAGTGAGCTGTGGGGCAACTTCAAGTTGTCTAATATGTCTGTAACTGAAGTTCCTGAACAAGGGGGAAAGAAATGGAGTTAGAGAAAATAAACGAATAAATAATGGTGTTGCAGAATGAAAACTGCCACAACTACAATGGAAAGTAATCTGAGTAGCAACTATTAAAATTTAGGCTACACAAGCATTTTGAGCCAGCAATTCCAATTCTAGGAAAATACAAAGAAATAAAAGCATCAGTATACGAAATTCTATGAAAAGATACTTATTAAAGCATTATCTGAATTTGCACAAACTGGAAACAACCTTCATCAGTAAATAAACGGTTGATAAATTATCATATGGCCACCATGAAGATAATAAAAGGAATTAATTAGAATTACACACGTAGACAGGAGAAGTGGCCATGATCCATTAAGCAAAAAGAGAGAACTTACATGGTTATTACATCTATAACATGATTCTCTGGAATATAAAAGAGAGAAGTAAAGAAAATAGATTATCTATGTTTTTACTAACAGGGAAAAATAGTATAGAATACCTTGGGATGTGGGTTGAGATTAAATAGAGGCACAGGAGACCAGATTTATAAATACAATACATATATATGGATTGAATTGTTAAAATGAGCATATATTACTTTTGAATAAAAAAATTAAAACATAAAATAAGCACAATAACAAATGCACTATACATTAACAATATAACATTGCTATGATTTCACAAGCATCAAACTAGAATGCACAAAGAAGAGGATAGAATCATTTGGCATGTATGTGAAAAATTCATACTTTTCAAAGATCAACGGTAAATAAATTTTCATGTGGTCTTTTTATCCAAAAACAAGTAGGGCTAATACTATTAAGCCAATTCTAAAGACAAGAAGACCGGAACGTAGGAAGAACTCAGAATTTTATCAGATAAATTTAACAATTACTCCTTGAAATAATTAAAAAGAATCAAGCAGAAATTCTAGAGTTCAAAAATGCAGGCTGAGCACGGTGTCTCATGCCTGTAATCCCAACACTTTGGGAGGCCGAGGCAGGCAGATCACCTAAGGTCAGGAGTTCGAGACCAGTCTGGCCAACATGGTGAAACCCCGTCTCTATTAAAAATGCAAAAATTAGCCAGGCGTGGTGGCACGCCTGTAATCCCAGTTACTCAGGAGGCTGAGGGAGGAAAATCGCTTAAACCTGGGAGGCAGAGGTTGCAGTGAGCTGAGATCGTACCACTGCATTCCAGCCTGGGCGACAGAGTGAGACTCTGTCTCAAAAAAAAAAAAAAAGCAACTGACATGCTTAAGAATGCATTAGAATCTCTTAATAATAGCGCCAAACAGGCAGAAGAAAGAATTAGTGAGCTTGAAGACAGGTTGTTTGAAAATACACAGTCAGAGGAGACAAAAGAAAAAAGAATATAAAATAATGAAGTCCACCTACAAGACCTAGAAAATAGTCTCAAAGGGACAAATCTCAGAGTTATTGACCTTAAAAAGAAGTAGAGAAAGAGGTAGGGGTAGAAAGTTTATTCAAAGGGATAATATGAGAGAATTTCCCAAACCTGGAGAAAGACGTCAATATTCAAGTACAAGAAGGTTATAGAACACCACGCAGATTTAATTCAAAGAAGACTACCTAAAGGCATTTAATAATCAAACGCCCACAGGTCAAGAATAAAGAAAGGATCCTAAAAGCAGCAAGAAAAAAGAAGCAAATAACATACACTGGAGCTCCAATATGTCTGGCAGCAGATTTTTCAGGGGAAACGTTATAGACTAGGAGAGAATATCATGATATATTTAAGATGCTGAAGGAAAACAATCTTTTACCCTAACATAAGAACTAAAAGGCAAGAGCAAATCCAACCCAAAATTAGTAGAGGAGATAATAAATATCAGAGCAGAAATAAACGAAACTGAAACAAAATACAAAAAAAAATCAACAAAATGAAAAGCTGTTTTTTTGAAAAGATAAGCAAAATTGACAAACCTTTATCCAGACTAAGAACAAAAATAGAAGACCCAAATATATAAAATAAGAGCTGATAAATGAGACATTACAACTGATACCACAGAAATTCAAAGGATTATTAGTGGCTGCTATGAGCAACTATATGCCAATAAATTGGAAAATCTAGAGGACACAAATAAATTCCTAGACACATACAATCTATGAAGACTGAACCATGAAGAAATCCAAAACCTGAACAGACCAATAACAAATGAGATAAATGTCATAATAAAACATCTCCCAGCAATGAAAAGCTTGGGACCTGATGTCTTCACTGCTGAATTCTACCGAACATTTAAAGAAGAACTAATACCAATCCTACTCAAACTACTCCAAAAAATAGAGGAGGAGGGAATACTTCCAAACTCATTCTACAAGGCCAGTATTACCCTAATATCAAGACCAGACAAAGACACATCAAATAAAGAAAACTACAGGCCAATATGTCTGATAAACATTGATGCAAAAATCACTGAATTCAACAACACATTTAAAAGATCATTTATCATGACCAAATGAGATTTATTCCAGGGATGCAAGGATGATTCCATATATGCAAATAAATCAATGTGATATATCATATCAACAGAATGAAGGACAAAAATCATATGACCATTTCAATTGATTCTGAAAAAGCATCTGATAAAATTCAACATCCCTTCATTAAAAAACTCAAAAAACTGTGTACAGAAGGAACATACTTCAACATAATAAAAGCTATATACAATAGATCCACATCTAATATCATACTGAATAAGGAAAAACTGAAAGCCTTTCCTCTAACATCTGGAGCACGACAAGGATACCCACTTTCACCACTGTTATTCGACATAATAGAAGTCCTAGCTAGAGCAATCAGACAAAAGAAATAAAGGCCATCCAAATTGAAAAAGAAGAAGTCAAATTATCCTTGTTTGCAGATGATATGATCTTACATTTTTTAAAAACTCAAAGACTCCACCAAAAACTATTAGAACTGGTGAAAAAAATTCAGTAAAGTTGCAGGATACAAAATCAACATACAAAAATCAGTAGCGTTTCTATATGACAATAGTGAACAATCTGAAAAAGAAATCCAAAAAGTAA